AGACAACATGTATACTTTCATAGGAAGAATTACCCATAAAAATTTCCATTAGAATAAATTTGATTGCACACACCATCCAGTATATAAGACTACAGACATAATATCTGGAGCTTCACTAGATATTGAAAGCAACTAATACAAAACAGTCAAATTGGAAACCATTAAACATGTACATTTGAAATTAAAGTTTGGTTTTTTATGTAGACATTTTTCAAAAATTCACCAAGAATTATGTATTTTAAAATATTTTTAACAGTTTTCATTTCTAATTGCATTCCTCATTTTACATCAAAGCAACACTAATCCACAATTTCCACAATAATATGGGAAGCAAAAATATATCCCTCTTTTCTTATCTCTCATTGTACTATTTCCCAGCCTTCTGCTTCCTCCTCTGTAAGCAGGTCAAAGAAACAGTGGTGGTTGTACTTTGATAAAATAAGTTGTAACTGCAACAACTTTAACTCCCACTGTCCAGGCAATGCAAACTTTAAAGGAATGACAGTTTAATTTCACAGTTTTTTAAAACTTCTAAATATCAGAGTTTTGTCTGTTCATTCCTCTCCCCCAACAATGAAAGATGTAGCTTGAAAGACCTTAAGAAGATGAATCTTGAAATTACTTCTTTTTTTACAAGGCACTCATAAATGCAAAAGGGGAAAATATATATTTTTCCCTCAGACCAAGAGGCAAATATTATGCATTCTTTTCCTAAGGAGTGCAGGGAGGGGAGATTTTCTGTGAAGGATATTACATATCCAGATCAATAAAGTCAGCATTGAAGTTTTAAAGTTCCTTTCTGAAATACTGGCCAGGTTTTTCTCTCTTTTGTACATCTAGCACTTGCTCTTTATTGCTCAATATCCATTCAACAGCAGAGTGAAGAACAGGAGACACCAGAGACCTTGATTAACTGCGATATAAATTAGGAATGCTTTTGAGCTTGCAAAACTGGAGAACAAATGCCATATTGTCCCAGTTCAGCCCAGCAGTAGAAAAGAGCCCTATATTTCCCTTCACCTTATATGTTTATATCATTCAAGATCATTTCAGCTCTATGTTATTCTTATCTCTATATTTAACTTCCTTGCAACTGAAATAAAGATGATAAAGCATGCACATTATAGAGAAATAGGTTTAGGGAGAAACTAATGCTGGTTCTTTAGTCTTTCCTATCACAAGAACTTTATCTATCTATCTATCTATCTATCTATCTATCTATCTATCTATCTATCTATCTATCTATCTATCTTTTCTCCAAGGAGCTAAAAGTGAGTATGCATGGTTTCCCTCTTACCTACTGTTATGCTCAGAGATAACAGTGATATAGGCCATGGTTAGAAGTATAGAGCAGGGGTAGGCAACTTTTCCCCTTTAAGGGCCGAGGGACTTCAGCTCCCAGAAGCCTCAGCCATGTTGGCCAATAGTCCTATGTTGGCCAATAGCTCCTGGGATTCTGGGAGCTGAAGTCCCTTGGCCCTTAAAGGGGAAAGGTTGCCTACCCCTGGCATAGAGCTTCTAGATTATGGGTAGGCAACTTTTTTGAGCTTGGGGCCGGGTTCCTGTCCCTCAGACAAGTGGGGGGGCGAAGCACCATAAATAAATAAATAAATAATTTTTTTACAAAAAAATTAAAAAATTTAAAAAATATGCATGCACACTCTCTCAGCCCCAGAAAAGCCATGGCAAAACCCCTGTGGAGATTTTGCCAAGAAATCCCCAAGAACAAGTAATAACAACAATACTCAATATCATCATGGTGGTTGGCAGCGGGGGGAGGCAGCAGCAGCAGCGGCAGGACCGTCCTGGGTCTGGTCCAAAGGTCTTGGGGGGCCGCATCCAGCCCACGGGTCTTAGGTTGCCTATCTCTGTTCTAGATCAAGTGCTGAACTGAATCTGGATCTCCCCATTCCTAGTCAAACACTCTAACTACTACTCCCATATTGAATCACAGCAACAGAGATTGTATAACGAAATACAGGGCATTACAACTAGGCTTCTTTTCTGGTATATGCTGTAGATGCATACCTTAGAGGTGCCATTGAAATCTACTTGAAATAGAATGTTTCAGTGATGCTTCTGGAATTTCAGTGACATGGTACGTTTGGTGCAATCAAAACTTGACACAGTTTCAACATCCTAGAATCTCTTCTACACAATTTAGGTTGCATTAACAAGGGGCCTAAGCAGACGGCTTATTGGGCCATCTTCGGAGTAGGGAAGGGGAGGGGCAGCCTCATGCTCGGCGCCCCATCCTCCTCCTGAGGTCGTCCTCGGAGCAGCCGGCCCTCTGCACGGTAGGCGCTCTGAGGAGGACCTCCTGCCACAGCGTCCAGACACGCTGCGGCGGAAAAGTCACCAAAAGTGCGCTTCAACCTTTTGTGATGCACTTTCTGCGACATATGAAAGGAGTGCTATTTTAGTCTTTAGTTAGGGGCGATGACGGTGCGCTGCAGGATTGAGGCATGGGGATGCCTCGTCCCGCGGCGCACCTTCCCAGGGCAGCCCATGGCCGCTCATCTGCTTAGGCCCAAGGTCTCTTGAACACTGTACAGGTATGAGCATTTGGCTGTGACTGGTTATTGATTAAAACCTGTTTCAGAAGTGATAGATATGTGAAGTGGGAAGGGGAAAAATTTATACCTCCTGCACATTGAAATCCATAGATGTGTGATGCAGAAATATCTTACACCCCCACTGAAAGTGGGAAGTAAACACTCCCATGAAGCATGGGAGGGAATGTCAGATTCCACTAGTGCATCTAAGGATATTATTGACTGCTTTTTTAATCAATCTTGGCATGGACTGAGACCATGTAAAACGGATGTCATCACACAGTTTTGTTTCCAGATCAGAGCCATCCCCTACCATATCAGGACTTCTCCTGTACTGAGCAATGAACAGATAAGAATCATTTGTAGCTCAGTATGGGAGAAATCCCTATTGGGTACAGGATGCCTCCAATCTAGGCACAAAGCTGTGTGATAACATCCATTTTTACACCATCTCAGCCCATGCCCAGATCAGGAGAAAATGGAAAGTGCCTGAAACAACTCAATAGGCACCATTAGCTATAGCAAATGATGAACAACTTCATTCATCAATCTTGATCCAGGCCTAGTCTTATTCCTCTCCACCAATAAAAATTTCTTGCCCTTAAATCAACTTTATCCAAGCCATTTATGCATTTATCCAAACAACTGTCTTCTAAAATAGGCTTGCTAATTTTGTTGTTGTTAATTGTCCTCGAGTCAATCTTGACTAATGATGACCATATGGATGAGACATCTCCAAGACATCCTATCCTCAACTGCTCTGCTTAAATCCTATAAAC